CACATTGTATGATTTTTAAGTAATTAATTTGCATTTTATTGCATGACATAAGTATTTGATCACCTACCAACCAGTAAGAATTCTGGCTCTCACAGACCTGTTAGTTTTTCTTTAAGAAGCCCTCCTGTTCTCCACTCATTACCTGTATTAACTGCACTTGTTTGAACTCGTTACCTGTATAAAAGACACCTGTCCACACACTCAATCAAACAGACTCCAACCTCTCCACAATGGCCAAGACCAGAGAGCTGTGTAAGGACATCAGGGATAAAATTGTAGACCTGCAAAAGGCTGGGATGGGCTACAGGACAATAGGCAAGCAGCTTGGTGAGAAGGCAACAACTGTTGGCGCAATTAGTAGAAAATGGAAGAAGTTCAAGATGACAGTCAATCACCCTCGGTCTGGGGCTCCATGCAAGATCCAAAAATCCAGAAAATCACATTATATGAGTTTTAAGTAATTAATTTGCATTTTATTGCATGACATAAGTATTTGATACATCAGAAAAGCAGAACTTAATATTTGGTACAGAAACCTTTGTTTGCAATTACAGAGATCATACGTTTCCTGTAGGTCTTGACCAGGTTTGCACACACTGCAGCAGGGATTTTGGCCCACTCCTCCATACAGACCTTCTCCAGATCCTTCAGGTTTCGGGGCTGTCGCTGGGCAATATGGACTTTCAGCTCCCTCCAAAGATTTTCTATTGGGTTCAGGTCTGGAGACTGGCCAGGCCACTCCAGGACCTTGAGATGCTTCTTACGGAGCCACTCCTTAGTTGCCCTGGCTGTGTGTTTCGGGTCGTTGTCATGCTGGAAGACCCAGCCACGACCCATCTTCAATGCTCTTACTTAGGGAAGGAGGTTGTTGGCCAAGATCTCGCGATACATGGCCCCATCCATCCTCCCCTCAATACGGTGCAGTCGTCCTGTCCCCTTTGCAGAAAAGCATCCCCAAAGAATTATGTTTCCACCACCATGCTTCACGGTTGGGATGGTGTTCTTGGGGTTGTACTCATCCTTCTTCTTCCTCCAAACACAGCGAGTGGAGTTTAGACCAAAAAGCTATATTTTTGTCTCATCAGACCACATGGCCTTCTCCCATTCCTCCTCTGGATCATCCAGATGGTCATTGGCAAACTTCAGACGGGCCTGGACATGCGCTGGCTTGAGCAGGGGGACATTGCGTGCGCTGCAGGATTTTAATCCATGACGGCGTAGTGTGTTACTCATGGTTTTCTTTGAGACTGTGGTCCCAGCTCTCTTCAGGTCATTGACCAGGTCCTGCCGTGTAGTTCTGGGCTGATCCCTCACCTTCCTTATGATCATTGATGCCCCACGAGGTGAGATCTTGCATGGAGCCCCAGACCGAGGGTGATTGACCGTCATCTTGAACTTCTTCCATTTTCTAATAATTGCGCCAACAGTTGTTGCCTTCTCACCAAGCTGCTTGCCTATTGTCCTGTAGCCCATCCCAGCCTTTTGCAGGTCTACAATTCTATCCCTGATGTCCTTACACAGCTCTCTGGTCTTGGCCATTGTGGAGAGGTTGGAGTCTGTTTGATTGAGTGTGTGGACAGGTGTCTTTTATACAGGTAACGAGTTAAAACAGGTGCAGTTAATACAGGTAATGAGTGGAGAACAGGAGGGCTTCTTAAAGAAAAACTAACAGGTCTGTGAGAGCCGGACTTCTTACTGGTTGGTAGGTGATCAAATACTTATGTCATGCAATAAAATGCAAATTAATTACTTAAAAAGCATACAATGTGATGTTCTGGATTTTTGTTTTAGATTCCGTCTCTCACAGTTGAAGCGTACCTAGGATAAAAATTACAGACCTCTACATGCTTTGTAAGTAGGAAAACCTGCAAAATCGGCAGTGTATCAAATTCTTGTTATCCCCACTGTATATGCCTGCCTGCATGAGAGCTTGGATGGCTATGAAGTCCCTGCTCTTGATATACAGTATCTAACGAATTACTAATTCCATTCCCTAGGCTAAGCATGCTGTGAAACCTGCACTGTTCTTAAATCTACCTCAGTACTTTGATATAGACTGTTATGCAAAAGGAATTTATTCATCTCTCAAAAATTATCAACATACTTACAGTATCAGTATCCAGCAAACAAAAAATGAAATGTGCCTTTTTACATGATTTCTATACAATACCATCTCTGGCCCCAGTCTGGTCTCACAGACTAGATGTAAACATAGTGAATGTAAATCCAGGACAGTCAAATTAGTATGATGTGTTTTGTTTGGTGTGGTTGCATAAGACAGATGGTTACTAAAAACGAAAGTAGGGTGCTTGGTCGGGGTGGATGGCTGGGCGTATAACATGAACGTCTAGCTACCCTAAGGTTGCGAGGTTGAATCTCATCAGGTACAACTTTAGCATTTTAGCTACTTTTCAACCCCTTCCTACTTTTTAGCTACTTTGCAACTAAATTACTTAACATAATAATAATATAATATGCCATTTAGCAGACGCTTTTATCCAAAGCGACTTACAGTCATGCGTGCATACATTTTTTTTTTTTTTTGTGTATGGGTGGTCCCGGGGATCGAACCCACTACCTTGGCGTTACAAGCGCCGTGCTCTACCAGCTGAGCTACAGAGGACAACATGTTAGCTAACCCTTCCCCTAACCCTGATCTTAACCCTTTAACCTAACTCCTAAACTTAACCCTAACCCCTAGCCTAGCTAACGTTAGCCAACTAGCTAGAATTTGTAACATATGATATGTTTGCAAATTTGTAACATATAATACGAATTGTAATTCGTAACATACAGTATACTTACAAAATGGGTGATGGACATCCACAAATTAATACATACCATAGGAAATGTAACACAGCGTGTTAAATGGAGTCTCTCAGATATACATAGAATAATACGAAATGCTCTGAGACCAGGTTGCCACTCCTTGAAACAGACAGAGGACTCATATGCAACCATTTGAAAATCCTGGGGTTACCTTTTGGGATTTCAGCGGCATAGTGAGTAATCGTCCTTCAAGCCATCATGACTCATTATCTTTTGTTCCTATTGTTATGATTCTCCTACTCCCACCTACCCTATAAATCACTACATTAAAGAGACAGGCTTACTATTTAAAAACAGAATATATTGTAATAACAATTGTTACGGAGATAACACCAGTCTGAGTCTACCTTGCAGTCATATTAATACTGGTCTCTAGCCTAGAGCTTTACCTATGGGTTTAGGTACTTTATCAATTAGACAATGGTTCTTTCTTTATTCAATTAATGAACTGGGAGTTTTGAGGGCATAAAAAAAAACAGATTTTTCCCGATAGTGGAAAAAATAGCTAAACAAACACATGATAGGTCAGGTCCAGTTGAAGACTGAGCAGTAGATTTTTCATCTGATAACCTGTCAAATGCCTCTGAAAGGTGCATTACTTACTTAAAAGAAAATTTCACAAATGTGAATGTTATATCGTTTTTGTGCATCTCTGAGCAATGTTCTATCGGTTCCCGGGGTCATTTCATATTTTCATGTGTATCTGAGCTATTCGCCGTTCAAGCAGGCGGAGGTTTTGCAAAACGTGTCATACCAGCTGTATTTCTGCCTGCTTGAACGACAATGAGAGAAATAAGAGTAATAAACACATGGACCATTTGGACCCAGAGAGGTAAACATGGCGGAAATGGAATGTCTATTATTCCATTATGCAAATGTTTTGTTCTCCAGCTATATGGTTTTTTAAAAAAATACTATATTTTTCTGATACTATAGCCTATGTGTCATGGATTGCATGTCCGTGACTTATAGACAATGACACAAACAAAGTATTGGTTTGAGAAAGACTCTTTATTGTATCTCTTCAAGGTATAGCCAAGAATCCTGAAACAAAAGAAAATATGTTGGTTAGAGTTGCGCATTCCGTTTGCCAACAATACTTTGACATTAGGTGTCAAAGTCAAGTGTTTGTTGTGCACGCCAGTAACTCAAACAATGTAACTTGTTAACCATGTTTCTACCGTGTATAAAGCTGCCCATTTAAACGTACATGCTCTAGCAATGTTAAATATATTATTAGAATAACGATCGAAGTGTTGGTAGAGAATAATCATATAATTTAACCTACCTGATGTTTGTTTGAAGCTCCGCGCTGTTTTCTTGTTGAAGTGCCGGTGTGCATGAAGCAAATTAGTCTGCGAGTCATCAAGGAACATTTATTGGTTATTGGGAATAACCAAAGTGATGAATTATCCCGGAGTGAATTACTTCATGAATGTGTATTGTGTGAATTAAATAATAAGTTATGGCATAAGTTATTTAAGTGTGGGTTTATGTAAAACTGTTGTTTATGATGTTATGTCCATGGGAAATCATTCATTTCCCATGGACATCCAATATGCCGTCTCTATTTAGAACAAAAAGTTAGCAAAAATGCCCACAGAAATCATTAAGAAATATGTTTTGGGGCTATCATGGTGGAAGGGAGTTCCTGGAAAGAGTAGGCTACTGAGGTGCTCAGTCGGCCTTTGTTTGGGAGGAGAGCAGGCTGGGCAGGTAACAGGTTGGCCTACCTGCATTTTGTTATAGGCAAAGTTGTTGCCGGAATAGTTTATACTGACAATATCTTTGATTTATTCAAGTCTTTATGTCAACGTCCTGTTTGTTATTTTCTGTATAAAGTGTATCGGCCAATTCGTCCTGCGCCTGTTATTATTGTAAATAAAAGCCTCTGAGAGGTAAGCACCAGAACATCTTTTCTGTCTCCTCACTGTCAAATCCGCCATCATTATGACACTGTTACGTTATGATAGTGTTATATGACATAGTTATGATTGTGATATAATGGAGCGTTCAAGTAAAATGTTACCAAACTAGCATCACCAAAAGACATCACCAAAATGTAAGATGACTTTACAGCCCATATTCCTAACTCTGTTTGATGTTTCAAAATAAAATGAGAGCCCTGCTGAGGCCCTTGTGGGCTGTGCGGGCTCGTACCATCTTTGGTGTTAGAGGGAGATATCCACCTTCCTCTCCTCGGAGCCCAGCAGAGCCTTGGCCATCTGGGCCACGGCGGGCCTCTTGGTGTGCGGCCCATACAGGAAGCTGCAGGTACACGGCTTCTGCATGACCTCAGCACGTGTGTACCCGCACATGCCACAGAAGGCGTCATTGCAGAAGATGATGGCACAGTTTTCCACGCGAGCATTGGCGATGATGAACTTGCGATCTGAGGAGGGAGGGAATAATATATCAAAATTATTCTAATCTAAAGAGTCCTTGGATTTTGTCATCGCATATAATACAGTTTACCACAGTACAATTTAAGATGGTTATTTTACTTGACCACACATGCCATATCAGTGATCTGCACCAAGGCATATAACCAAGTCATGTATTAAAACCTGCAAGAGAACTAAGATGGGAGCATCTGTAAGGTGCAAGTCTGTTTTCAACTTCAACTACTAAGCTTGCTGTTTACATCAAAACTGTTAACTGTTTAGAGCCTTAGAAAAGTTTTGGTATCAAAATATGTCCCAAGAAGGAAACATTCATTGATGCATGTCAGTTTTTGAAATATAGCTGTTTTACTCCCTCCTATCCTGCTTAGAAACTAACTTCTGATCCTGTTTGGATTTGAGCCAAATGTATGCTCTGACAGACACTGCTGCCCTATATTTATCTCCTTGAAATATTACTCTCCCAGTATGTCTGTCATGTAGAAATGTAGCCCATAGGCCTAAATCTGATTTTATCATTATGTGTACCCTAACATTCTAATATACCAAGAAGGGAAACATAATTAAAGTAAGGTGGCAAATCCGACATAAATCATATCATGGTTAATACGTTTGCAGTACTATACTTTTTTAAAACAAGAGAATCACAATAGCTTACAGTGCAAGAGCATATATCTAATTAAACCTATTAACTCAACACATGCAGATTTCAATAATAGGCTAATATTCTAATTTCAATAGGGACATTTTTCATTTTTTTGCCAAAAGAAGCCTTTGAAAATAGGAAGAGGCTGTTTTGATTTTATTCCAAACCCCTAACCAAAGGGATTCCTAAACATTGGTTCCCCAAAATGCTGACTCAATATTGAATAGGAAAAATCGTACACTATTGAATAAGAAAAATCTTACTCTGTCCTTCGAATTTTCTGATGATTGTATCCAGAAAAGTCTTCTGAGGAGCCACGTGTCCCCGCCGAACAGGCATTTAGGGCCGTATTTCGCGCGGTTTGGAAAGTTGGACCGTACGCTCCTGTCACAGGTGAGGTCTCCTATGTTGTCGCTCTAAAATGCCTAAACCGCTGGAAACATGTCACAGCCACCAAGCCCTGCGACGTGACGTGCCAACTACTTTTTTCATCACTTTGAAAAGCTCTCGACGTTTTTGTGTAAAACATCCCCAAACAGGCTTCTTGGCTATCAGCCAACCTGCTTTGTTGTTAGGCTACGGGTGTATCCTTCACTTCCCCAGCTTGGAAGTAGCACTGCCTCATGTTCAGTGGAAGCTGCTATTCCAATTCACAGGTGCCTGGGGACTGTTGCTATATTGTCCTGTTTCTGTGACCACCCAAGATGTCGTGGTTGCAACCTCTGCTTTTTAAAATTATGATGGTCTATCAATATGTTGTTGTCAGGTGCGTCTCTGTCCATTGTGTTGTGTTTTTATATACAGTCGAAGGCAATATGACAGAACTTACTTTACTGAACAGAAGATTAGCCTACTTTTCTTATTTATGTTGAAAATGGATTGTGACATTGCAAAGGGAAATACTTTTAGATGTAGGTCCATCACAGACGCAGCAAGGCAATATTTAAAATATATATATTTTTGTAGGTTATGTTCTTTTAGATAAACAAATGCTTAGTTATTTGATAATGTCAAATGTATGGTATAAAAGTCTACTAGCATTTTATAGCATCATTCACTCACCACCTGGGACCTTGTGCCTTCAATCAAGATGAGACTGAATGGTGTGATTGCCATCTAGAGGCACAGAAAGCACATTACCAGATAGCTTGAATTCTGGTACAGTATGAGCCTATGACCAGCAGGTGGCAACAGCAGGTTACAAATTGTCAGGTTAGAATTGTGAATGGTAAACCAGATTATTTTGTTCTCAAGAATGTAATAGGCTATGCTTACTGATCTCATCTGTTCATGCTCAACTGTCTCAAATGTCTGCATTGGCATTTCCTTTACACTTACCAATGGCTACCTATAATAATGGAAATTATTATTGTAAATCTTCCTTACGGGCAGACCACAGGCTGTGAGGATTGGCAACAACACCTACTCCACACTGACTCTTAACACAGGGCCCCCCCAGGGGTGTGTCCTCAGCCCTCTGCTGTACTCCTTGTTCACCCACCACTGCGTGGCTTTGCACGACACCAACTCCATCATCAAGTTAGCTGACGACACCACGGTTGTAGGCCTGATAACCAACAACAACGAGTCAGCCTATAGGGAGGAGGTAAGTGAACTTGCATTGCGGTGCCATGACAACAAACTCTTCCTCAATGTCAACAAAACAAAGTAGTTGATTGTTGACAGGAAGCAGAGGAACATACCCGATCCACATCAACAGAGCTGCAGTTGAGAGAGTCAGCAGTTTTTAAAGTTCCTCAGCATCCACATCACTGAGGACATGGACCAACACCACCACCGACATTCCATTCGCTCTATTCCAGCCATTATTATATGCCATCCCCCCCTCAGCAGCCTTCACTGCCCTGCACCATTGAGAAAGTCCTGACTGGTTGCATCACGGCCTGGTACGGGAATTTCCCGTCCACGACCGCAAGATTCTCCAGCGGGTGGGGAAGACGTCCCAGTACATCACTCATCAAGGACCCCACACACCCCAGCCACGAGCTGTTCACTCCCTTACCATCGGGTAGACGGTATCGTGGCATGAGGTCTGATGCCAACAGGCTTTAGCCTGGCGGGGGTTCTGGTGGTCCTCCCCCAGAATCTTTTTGGGCATCTAAAGTAAATTTCTTGCTATTTTACACAATCCAATATACCGTCTCTATTTAGAACAAAAAGTTAGCAAAAATGCCCACAGTCATCAAGCTAGGTAATAGATCGTTATTAAATATGTTTAAGTGATTAATAAGACTGAACTTGATCAAATGTAATTCAATTATAAATATTGTGTTGCACCTTTAACCAATAGCTTAACAAATAAACTATTGAAAACACAATGTCCTTCCCAGTTCACTCCTTCCCAGTTCAACACCCTGCAGCGCCCCAACCCAACACACCCCACTCAACTTTAGGATCTTAGTGAAACATTCATTATTGGTTTTGGGTGTGTTAGGCCAAGGCCAGAGTGACAACCCACAGGACAGCAGACCCCCAGGTCCAAGACTGAGCAGCCCAGCAGTTAGGGATTTTCTAAATAGGTATCTCCCCTGACGTGGGCATGTTTTCAATGCAGACTCCTTTAGTCGTACTGTATTCCATACAGTATAAGGCATCCAGACCTTATGGAAGTTGCCCAGTTTACCTTTAATCTTGTAATAAATTAAATCTAGTGATACATAACTTGACATTGTGGGAGGATAACCAACATTCCAATTAATGGCAATGCATTTCTTAGCTGCTATAAATGATTTTGATTGCACAGGTTCTTCAAATAACAGTCTCCAGTATCAACATTTCCAAGCAAACAAAAACAGGGAGAAGGGAGAATCTGTAGACATGCTGAGATAAAATAACATACTATTTGCCAGAATTCAGCCAGCCTTCACAAGACCATAACATATGCAAATATGTCCCCTTTTGTGTTTTACACCTCCAGCAGAGGAATGACATTTCTGAGTGCATGTAATTCAGTTTCACTGGCATATAGTATGTTCTATGGATGGTCTTAAACTGCAGTAATGTATGTCTGAGATGATATGAACATGACTGGGCATTGAAACATATCTGTATCCATTCATCATCATCAAAAGCTTCTACCATGTCTTCCTCACATTTTTGTTTTACATGTTTTGTTTCATCGGGGAAAGCCTCTATCAACCCTTGACACAGTTTGGAAATCAACTTTGAAGGTTTGTCCAACTGCATTAAAATAGCATCTGGCTTGTCCAGTGTTTGCTGCACAGAGATAATAAAGTGTTGTATCTGCAAGAATTCACCTCACCTCCGTCACAGACTGGTCTTCCCTGGCTGCCTGACCCTGCTGAGACCCCTGTCACCATCTGATCCTCCTAAAATGAGTCATGCCAAATAATTACCTTGGTGTACATTTATACATTCTATTATCCAAGAGTATAATCAATGGTTAAAAAATTGAAATGACCATTATTCCCAGATCGCAGACTGTAGCTTTAAGCTTAAGCTGCTGTCCTGTAGCTACTGTAGGTCTACCCATCAATTCAACATGGAACTGTATCATTCACTGATATTGTTAATATACTGCAAAGTTCACCTGAGCTCCGTAGACTGGTCTTCCTTGGCTGTCTAACCCTGCTGGGACCCCTGTCACCATCTGATCCTGCTAAGATACCGGGCAGACCTCCACTGTGCACCATGACAGTGAAGCCTGTAACGTTAGAGCTGTTTATTACTGTGTCTGTGTAAAAAGTAGGGAATTAGTTAAGTAAATTGAAAGATCAATAACATTACATTGCCATACTGACTACTAAAGCTCACATTGCACTGAAAAAAATGTCAGAATATCAATATTCCATCATTTGGCCGGCGGTTTCATAGTTTGATTCAGGTCTAGTGTGATTGGGACAAAAATAATAGCTAATGTTAGCCAACTTTTGGCCAGCTCTCTCTCTCTAACGGTACATCAACTGGCAAAAGCTAGTTGAAGTGGGACAAAACAAAGGCTACAAAACATTTCCATACAAACAACAGCTGTTAGATAGTGATATGAGGTGGTTATTATTACTATCTGACAGATAACTAGAGGCTAGAGCTGACTTGGCTGTGGTAGTTACTAGCTAGCGTTGCTTATTCATTAACCTCAGTTGAGAGGGGATGAAACATTAGCTAACGTTACATGTCAGTTACAATACTAGCTCAGCACTGTGAATAAACACTAGTTTAGTTTTTTTGTTGTTAAGTTAAACAGCAGTTACAGTGCCTTCGGAAAGTATTCAGACCCCTTCACATTTTCCACATTTCTTTAAGTAAAAAAAAAAATCCTCAGCAATCTACACACAATACCCCATAATGATAAAGTGAAAACAGGTTTAGACATTTTTACAAATGTATTAAAAATAAAAATCAGAAATACTGTTTCCATTGATCATCCTTGAGATGTTTCTACAACTTCATTGGAGTCCACCTGTGGTAAATTCAATTGATTGGACATGATTTGGAAAGGCACACACCTGTCTATATAAGGTCCCACAGTTGACAGTGCATGTCAGAGCAAAGACCAAGCCATGAAGTCGAAGGAATTGTCCGTAGAGCTCCGAGACAGGATTGTGTCGAGGCATAGATTTGGGGAAGGGTACCAAAATATTTCTGCAGCATTGAATGTCCCCAAGAACACAGTGGCCTCCATCATTCTTAAATGGAAGAAGTTTGGAACCACCAAGACCCTTCCTTGAGCTGGCCGCCCGGCCAAACTGAGCAATCGGGGGAGAAGGGCCTTGGTCAGGGAGGTGACCAAGAACCCGATGGTCACTCTGACAGAGCTCTAGAGTTCCTCTGTGGAGATGGGAGAACCTTCCAGAAGGACAACCATCTCTGCAGCACTCCACCAATCAGGCCATTATGGTAGAGTGGCCAGACAGAAGGCACTCCTCAGTAAAAGGCACATGACAGCCCGCTTGGAGTTTGCCAAACGGCACCTAAAGACTCTCAGTGTCACGATCGTCTGAAGGATTGGACCAATGCGCAGCGTTGCGAGTGAACATGATGACTTTATTAATCCAAAGAAACCACGAAAAAACAACAAAAGACGATACGTGAAGTACTATACTGAAACACACTAACAGCAACACAGAAACAATAACCCACAAAACAAAGGTGAAAACACACAGAATATATATGGCTCCCAATCAGAGATAACGAGCCGACAGCTGAGACTCGTTACCTCCGATTGGGAGTCATTAACCAATCACAACTAGACACAAACAAAATGAAACTCACCCATCCCCAACACCACCAAATGAAATACACCCGAACACATGAAAATGAACAACCCTGGCTCAATTCTCAAAGTCCATAGAGCCAGA